GAAATGATAAATCCATTGAAGTTGCTGGAAGATTTCCCACTGATCAGAAGTGGGTATGTGAGGAGGATTTTCTTCACATTTTCTTCACATGCTGAATTTACCCAGCATGAGAACAGGAATGGCAAAAGCATAATGCTGCATGTCCAGATGAGTATTCAGAAACATGTCCTGTTCTGTGCAAGTGTGTAGCACTGAAGACAAGCTGCAACTAGCAGTTTGGAAAAAGAGTTGTCAAGCAACTGCTTGTAGTTCAAGATGATTTTTCTCTTCCTTTGCACCAGAGACCAGTGAGAACATTGCTTACAATGTTGCTAGTTAAGGTCCTCTCAGAGTATATCTCCTTCTGCCTTTAAAAACTTAGGCAATCTTTGAATTTGTCACCAGTTCTACATCCTCAAAAACCAACCAATCAACCAGAACAAACAAAACCTTACGTATGTGAAATGCAGCCCTGGTCTGATGATACACCCATCCTTCAGTACCCATTTTCCTTCCCAGCCAGGTTTTCTTGAAAGGGGTGTGAAGAAACTCCTAGTCTGCAGAACTGTTTCTTAGTGTTTTGTATTCTTAAACCAGGCTTCCGATAAAAAGATAATATGAGACGTATCTGATCTAACACACAAAGGGTCTGAAAAGCTCCATTTGACTGCTCTTCTACAGACGATTTCAGTCTTTGCATAACATCAAATCTCTCACAATTGCTCAGTTGAGTGACTGTCAGAAGTGAGGAAATAAAGCAATATGCTTTTTATGTCTATTTATGTGGCATACTTACTGTTTTTTTTTAGCAATTATGGCAGTAATTAAATACTTTTTTGAAATTAACTCTTTTTTTTCAAATTGCTGGCACCTATTTGTTGTATTATGATGTACAACATTTTCTTTATTAAGAAAATAGCAAAATTGAAGACTAATTTGTACAACTGTAGAATTAGCTCCTTTGCTCTACTTTTGACATTCGATATGTTTCATGTGATTATTTTAGGGCTATAAAACATACATTTTCTGTAAACATTGGGAGTGACGTAGAATTTGAAATAATTTAGTGGAAATACAGAAAAAAGCTTAGAGAAAGTTGAAGTACTGGAGTAGGTGTTGAAAGGAGACACCAAGTTATTTGAAAGCTTGAAAAATGTCTTGCAGTGAAAAACCTAAAATAGAATTGGCTAGAAATGCTTTGATGGAATGTTTTTCAGCTGATAGTATCTATTCATCAAATTGAAACTCTGCTGGAAAGGATCAGTTTTTGTATTTCTGGTTTTGAGATGTTTCCAGCAATTTCAGAGTTGTTAAAACATCCTCTTTCAACATTTTCTAAATAAAAAAAAAAAAAATACAATTTTCAGTTCTAAAAGCCTCCTCTCAAAACATAAACTAATTATGGGAGCCATCTCTAGACTGAGCTGGAAATATTGCAAATGACCCAAAATTAAGTTGGTTTGGGTTTTGTTTTCCTTTTTTTATTTCTGATAGACCTTAGTTTTTAAGTGTTCTGCTTCTTGTCAGGCTTTGAAAATGGGAAAATGGTTTGTCTAGCTTGATTGACAATTCAGCTGGTTCAATTTATCAGAAAAGTTCCTTCAGTGGGCCACGCCTCTGTATAATATATTAAATTCACTTATGACCATATATTGGGTTTGTATGGCAAGATTTTGGTAGCAGTGGTCTACAAGTGTTGTTTCTGTGAGAAGATGCTGGAAGCTACCCCTGTGTCAGACAGAGGCAATGCCTGTCAGCTCCAAGACGGACCCGCTGCTGGCCAAGGCTGAGCCTGTCAGTGATGGTAGTAGTGCCTCTGGGATAATGTATTTAAGGGGAGAAAAACTAAAGAGTGAGAATATGTGAGACACAGCTCTGCAGATACCAGGGTCAGTGAAGGAAAGGAGGAGGTGCTTCAGGTACTGGAGCAGGGATTCCCCTGCAGCCCCTGGTGCAGACCGTGGTGAGACAGTCTGTGCCCCTGCAGCACATGGAGCCCATAGAGATCTGTAGTGGAGCAGATGCCCACCTTCAGCCCTTGGAGGGCCCCATGCTGGAGCAGATGGATGCCCAAAGGAGACTGTGATCCTCTTGGGATTCCATATTGGAATAGGCTTCTGGCCCCATGGAGAGAGGAGCCCACACTGAAGCAGGTTTGCTGGCAGGACTTGTAACCCCTCAAGGGACCCATGCTGGAGCAGCCTGTTCCTGAAGGACTGCATGCTGTGGAAAGGACCGACACTGGAGCAGGTCTTGAAGAACTGCACCCTGTGGAAATTACTCACATTGGAGAAGTCAGTGAAGAACTGTCTCACACAGGAGTGACCGCATGCTGGAGCAGGGGCAGAGTGTAAGGAGTCTTCTCCTGAGGAGGAAGGAGTGCTGAAACAACATGAGATGAGCTGACTGCAACCCCCATTCCCTGACCCCTGCACTGCTGCAAGGGTGTGGGGAGTAGAGAAATAGGGAACGAAGTTGAGCCCAGGAAGAAAGGAGGGGTGGAGGGAAGGTGTTTTTAAGATTTGGTTTTATTTCTCATTATCCAGCTTGGATTGTTTGGTAATTTTCCCCAAAGTCAAGTCTGTTTTGCCCATGACAGTAAGTGAATGATCTCTCCCTGTCCTTATCTCGATGCATGAGCCTTTTGTTATATTTTCTATCCCCTGTCCAGCTGAGGATGTGGAATGATAGAGAAGCTTTGGTAGGCATCTGTAGTCCAAGCAGGGTCAACCCACCATAGGCCGTTATCTGGCAGCAAGGCCAACTCTCTCCATACTTTTAAAGTCTGTCATCTGCTGAAACAGAAGGGCCACATCCAAACCACCTCTTAAGAATGATCATTGGCCTACTCTGATTCCTGATCCATGCCCAGGAACTGGCTGGGATTGTATAAACTGGCCCCGTTTAAAACTCTTTCAGGGACTAGTGTAGGCAATTGAATTTCAGGTCCTGGGTTTGTTTCTTGGTACAGCGTATTTTATTTGCATTTTGTATGGGCATGTCTTATGAAGCATATTATATCTTAATTTCTCAAAGACACAAAAGAAGCAAAGACTGTAAATTAGAACCACAAAAACACAAATCAGAAATACAGATTTGCAACAAAGTGATTAACCATTGAAACAAGCTGTAAACTCAACATCTCTTAATGCTTTTCTTGTCAAGATAGGACTGTCTGCTGCAAGCCAAGCAGAAATTACAGGGCTCAGGAAGGGTATGAGGGTAAACAGTAGATTAAACCAAATAGCCTAATAATCCCTAGTGGGGATAAATTATCTAGGAAGATCATATGCAAAAGTATCATTTGCTTCTTGTGTTACATCATTATTAGATATAATTATGCATCCATTCATTTTATGGAAACATCTTAAATCAGAATTTGCCATATGAATTTCCCATTAAGATGACATGCATATTCCAAAGGCTACATTGTGACATTTAACTACAGACAGAAAATGCGGACACCCTTCTCAAAACTGGCTGGAAACAGTCAAAGAGGCAGACTCATGCTCAAGGAAGGGCAGCAGCTTGTGCCAGACTCTTTAAATCAAGGAGCATATCCTCTGCCATTTCTCCCATGACACTATCCAAGACATATATGAAGTAAGGTTGAGCAGAACTGTATCTTTCAAGTCACCAGACTACAAACATTTTCTGTTTGCTTTTGCTATTCTCACTCATTTTCATGTAGAATGGACTGTAAGTTCAGTGTTGGTTACTGAGAGATGCATCTGGATGTTATATATTAATAAAGAAAATGTTCCCAGATTTTCTACTGGAATCTTCATCTCTCAAAGGGACCTGTGAAGTACATACTGTAGAGCTAATGCGTACCTAGAGGACTGTTTCTCTTCCTGTGACTCTCAACTATTCAATATGCTCAAACTCCTGTTGCACTCTTACACTGGTTCAGTTTAGTAGCCTGGAGGTATAGATACAAAATATTAGCTGTTAAACTGTCAAAACTTGTAACAAGCAGCAGCCATTACTCGAGGGACTTCTACAGGGTTTACTGAATACTTTTTAAACATGTAAAAAGCTCCTTTCAAAAGGAAAGGGATTATTTTTTTAGTTATATTTTATAATGTTAAATGATACTGGAGAAATCAAACTGAAGCATGTCACATAGAATAAAACTCCTAATTAGGGCTCTACTGGCATTTCTGGTGTTCCACAATCTCCTAAAATGCAATTCTGTTCACAGAATTTCATTGGTATGAGAACTGTTCTCCTATCTTTGACCATGCAACTGGATATGCTAACAAATTGTGGCAGAAAAAGTCAAACACGGGGCAGCAGGGCCGAGCTAAGGATGCGGTATGATCTCTGTATAACTCAGGGCATTTTATCCTCTACACTAAAGCCAGCTGCATTTTCAGAGCAGAATTTTAGATGCACATGTATGTGTGCTGTCTCGGTCTAACACAGTCTTGGTCCAGAGTTTAAGAATTAACCCTAGAAATCTATTATTTATGACAGACAATATCCTGTCCCTATTTGTGCCACTTAAACGTTAGGTTTTAACATGTCTCTGAAGCAGTTAGCACACAGAGAAAAAAAACTGTCAAGTCCTGAAGAAATTTGTGTATCAGTCTGGCAGTTTAGAACTGCTGTTTCTTCATGTGCACTCATAGCAAATGTCGACTGAGGTTTTACTTTTTTTACACAAGATGTGTTCCTGAGCAGACGCACTTTGACAACAGTGGCTAGGAGTTGTTGAGAACATTTGGATAGTCGCTTACTTCCTGAGAAGTCTGAGTGTGTAGCCAGTGGTACAGATACTGGCCCTTGGCCTGAACAAACAAATTAATGGGGTATTTATGAAATAGAATATTAGAGAATGATAACATTTTAAAGGTACAGGCTTAGATATCAAAAAGAAAAAAACCACATATTAAATGGGACTTTAAAGGTCTATGCAAGATAATACCTCTATCTCCTTACCTGTGTTATTTTTAATTATTTTTTTTTTCTCTCCATGTTTGTCTGTCATGATGATCTTTGTTTCTAATTCCTTGCAGACATCTCAGTCAGTCTGTTAGCAGTAGTCGTCAGCTTCTGTGGGCTCGCCTTGCTGGTAGTCTCGCTTTTTGTCTTTTGGAAGTTGTGTTGGCCCTGCTGGAGAAGCAAACCTCTCACTTCCAATGCCAGTAATGCCCCCCAGAGCAACTCCAGTGCTCCTACGGAGGTTTTTGAGACCACTGAGAAAAAGGAAGTTAAAGAAAATGGGAAGCCTACAACAAAGGTACTTGAAGCTGCATTGAAAATTAGCCACACTTCTCCTGACATACCAGCAGAGGTCCAGAATGCACTGAAAGAGCATCTGATCAGACATGCACGCATGCAGAGGCAGATCACTGAGCCCACATCATCATCAAGGTGAGTCAGGGGCACTCGTGTTTGTAGCACATTTCCTGGGGAACAGGTAGAGCCAAAATGCTCTGCTGAAAATTTCCAGGATCCTGGATTATTTACTGGCTTCTTAGCACTGATGGGTGAAACAGCAGACACATGAAGGCAAAGCCACAGTGTCCTTTGAACAGAATATTGTGAAACATACAGTGTATCTTCAGTTGATCATTATTTTAACATATGAAGATCAAATCTACATCTTCTACTACTTTGTAAATGCATATGTTGCTGCTTTAAGCATTTCCATTTTAGGTTTTGTGTTTAGGAAAATCTATTTTGATGTGATTTTTTTTAAAATACCACAAGTCTAGCTTTTCAGAGATATTTTTATAGATGCAGCAGTTGCTTTTGCAAATGAAAGTTTCCTTCTCCACTAAATAAATGATGAGATTATTGTTGATGACACATTTCTTTAATGCATATTTTGCCACTTTTAAGGGAATTAAAATCCCAGTCTAAGAATGTAGATGCTTATGGACTGATCTTAGAGCAGTACAGTTTCTATATAGATATTTAAATAAGTGACAAGCATGTAATGTTCCTGAAGTAATTTCTTTTGTATTGAAATGGAGTACAGAAAGTTTTATTTTGTCTTAGGTACTGCTTTATACTGAAAAGTATTGAAGACGTGCAGTGACCTATAGCTTCAAATGGTATTTTCTTCAAATACTGTCAGCAAATTTAATGCATTCAAAACAAACAGTGAACTGCAAAGATCACTTTCTACATAAAAAAAGAAACCCAGATTTTTTATAAACAAAGAAGGGGAAAATAAAGGCTAAAGGAGACCTGAAGTATTGCACAATGCCATAAGTTAGAATACAAGCACTGTATAGGAAGCAGCTTTCCCTCAATAAACCATCTGATAAATGAACATATGCTACTAAAGGAAAGCAAACAAACAGCAAAAGGCTTACATTCACAATAATTGTTGGAGGCAAGACCAGAGAAGATGTGCTTTACGTTTATCAGGCACATATTTTGCTGGCCTTTTGTGAGTCCCTAAGACATCATTTTGCCAGCTCACTGTGCTCATTGTGGTGGTGAGTGCTGAAGTGCTTTTCCCAGCTATTCCAACAATGTGGAATAGCCAACAGGCAACCACAGGAGGCTCCCAAAAACAAAAGCACTCCAGTCAGGGGAGGTCTAGCTGACTTCCACAGCTGAACCATCTCCTGAATTATGAGACCATACAGGTGGCTTTAAGCCACATTGCCCGGCTATGCCTGGCTCCAGCTACTGTATCCATCTGCTATGGGAGAGAGCAGAGTATCCAAGGCATTCTGAGGAATGTTTCCAAGACACTTGGGAGGACAACTTTGAAATTGTAACTGTTCCACCAGACAAAGAGAGACCAAAACTGATAGAGCTTGGCATGACAAGGGTATTACACAACTCGCTGGTACCTAATAGGATATTAATTGGAAGAGTTTTATCCATTATGTACCAACAGGTAAATCTGTAGGTAATCAGACAGTCTGACTTTCTGAGCAGACAGAAGAAATAGCTGGCTGGCAAGAGGACTTGAATAGTCCCTGTGGTACTATAGGGAAAGTAAGAAGTTTCAGGGACATGATCCAGAGCTACTTCAGGCTATGAAAATATTCCCAAAGACCTCTAGAGTGATTTGGACTGGGACCTAAATGTGTATAAAATATCTGTGAAGCAAAGGACAGTTTTATGAAATTAAAGCTCCCATCAATCCTACTCTTTTTGCATATGTTGGTAACTTTGTAAGGGAGCTTTCTCTTTTTACCTTCTCTAGATTATCAGGGTTAAATCTGTCCTTGTGAGGGACAGTTCCTTTGCTTTGAATAACCCTTATTGTCCCACCTTACCCAAATAATAGCAGTATATTTGGACACCAACTTCTTTTACAGTTTACTGAAAAACTCTGCACCCTTGCTCCAAAACATATTTAGAATAAGATCCGTTTTTAAAATTACTCAGAAGTGGTCCTTTCTGTAGTTGTAAAGGTATTTTTTTATACCTCTGCCTGACTTAAGGGAGTCTTAACCTTCTGATAGCCCATATTAATTATTGATGCCAAGAACATCATGTGTGAGATGAAGGCTGGACTTTTAATCCAGCTTTCTGGATTTTAGTAAAAGAAATAGAATCATATTAACTCATTGTAATTGAAGCATAACAATTTTAAGAAGCCATTCAGAGCAATAATAAAAGGTGCCTGTTGATTTTTTTATAGACTGCACGTTTAACATGGAGGCATGTTAATGTAGGGAAATTATGTGTTTCTGATTAGTTATAACTATATAATTTTCATAGTTCCTGATAATATGAAAAGACTTGCTTGTTAAAAATAAAGACAACAAGCTCTTTAGTCCTTGATACCAATAAACTAGTAAACTACAATATAAGAAGTCCTGCACCAATGGTATTCATTTACAAACATTTCTGCCCTGTTACTGAGAAGCACTCTTCCCAGTACTTTGTGAAAGTATTCTCTGATATAGCTTATTGCTTCTATAATGTTCCTTTCTTCAAATTCTGTATTTTCAAATGGCATGACTTTTGCTCTTTAGCATTAGGTGGGAGACGAGCTTGTCAAGTAAGTCAGTTCCCAAAGGCACAAAAGCAAAAGTGAGGTTCTTGGGGATGCTAAGGTTAAAGAAAAACAAGCACGTCTGTTGACTTTAGTGACTGCAAGAAGGAGATAGCAGCCTCTGTTCTGTTTAAATACTGCAAGTGCTTCTGTCCGTTCCTGGTTTTAGTCCAAAAGATTGGTCTGTCATCTAGGAAAGCTAGATTTGAGCCACACCTCATAAATCTCAAGTCATATGTCCTGGGTTCAGCTGAGGTTCAGCTGGGTTCCTGCTCCTGCTGAACCCAGGACATTATATCATAAATTATCATCTTATCCTTCTCTTTTTTTGTACATATGGCAGTCTTACTGAGTTAGAAATCAGCTTCATACTACCAGTATTCCACAATATTATATTAGAGATGTAAATACAGATTTACTGCCACTCAAAATGTATTTGTTCTAAATTATGGAAGGTATGTTTATTACAGGAGTGTTATCTGTAAGAACCAGTAGAGTTTAAAGTACCTGCTTTGCACATGTTAGTAGCTTCAAAGCATTTTCACAACCTGGTTGCCTGACATCCTTTTACTTCGTTATCACAGTCATTAATTCTTTTGTTACTGCAGAACAAAGGAAGATAAATATGTTGCCATGACAACAATGAAACATCTTAATAATTAAGAGACCAATTAGCTATCTTGGTGAAATGCTGTGACTCAGAACAGATACTAGGCGCTATGTAATTAGGACTTTGGCTTGCTAGAGCAAAAGTGCTGCTGTTTCCCACAGGGAACAGTCATATAGCTGCACTGTTTTACTCAGTGTCATCTTGAAACATTCACTGAAAGATCTTACGTGCATAAAGTTTGAAAATTTGAAAGAAGGTTTGTACCTTACAAATCACGGATTTGGGTTTTATAGGTTGCATTTACAAGCATTAACCCAGATCTTTATAAATTCAAGAGACATTGAGGAAAAGAGATTTTGTCAATTATCTGTTTTCACTGAAACTGGAAATGCCATACAGTCAGCTTCACTGTTTCCCCTGCATACACAGTTTTCTCCACTGCTTGTCTATGGCAGAGTTTGAACATGGTTATCTGGTTATCTCAGTACTAAAGCTGCAGGTGTGAGGAGTACTCAGGAAGGCCTGCCTGCACAGGTTTCATTAGCACAGATAGAAGTAGCAACAACACAGGTCCCCCTGAAATTCATTATGAGTCAAAGATACTAGAGAGCTAGTGCCTAAGTTGCTGCGTGCCCAAATACGTATTGCTACTACATTCTGGGTGGAGTTCAGTTCCTTCCCTGTGTTTCACACACATATGAGGCTGGGCTTTTTAGACAATAAGGGCACTAGGACAGACCTGTAACTCCCTGAGGACAGCATTGTACTTCTCTGAGTAAGGAATTTTCCACTCCTCACTCCATTCCATCATATACTATGAATTCAGGGAATTTTAACATTTGCAAATCTTTCAACTTGTCTGTCTGTAAATAAAAGGTAGAAGGTTAGGTGTTACAAGAGGAGTGTTTGAGATCAGGACAGATGGATTTTTTTGAGCCTCTTTAAATCTATACTATAATATTCTCCTTCCCCTAGTCTTGTATTATGCTAGGACTGCTCCCTGCACCAAGCAGTACTTTAACAGCTGAAAGGGGAAACATTCTTGTCTCTTATTTAATGGCTGCAGATTACCCTCTTGTATCTCTGCTCAGCTGAACTGTGGTAGTTTTGTGCTTCATGCCTTCTGCAACCACTTCACTTACAGCAAAAGTACAAATAATATCTATGAAATCAGTCCTGGTTGTTTTCAAATGGACAATTTGCATTTCTGATTTAAAGAAAGAAACACACAGTTGTGACACCTCTTGTTTTCAGAACACAGCACCACAGGGAAACCAAGCAATAAGGCAAGGCTGCATTTGGCATTAATAAGCAATTGATTTCAAAAAGCACAGGAAAGTCTGACAATTAAATTGTTTTTTAATGGCAACTAAGCATGCTCACTGGAGGAGGTAGTGAGCTTTTTCAGTACAGATTGTTGGAGTAGTGAAGTACCAAAGAAGTATGAAAATGTCCAAAAAATAAACCGGACAGTGTGGTCATAATCCATCTGCTGATGATTAATTCTACAAAGCTTTTTGACCAGTGTTGTCATCCTGCTGTAAGGCTGTATTGCATGCCAGGGGTTTGATTTCACTCTTGGTAGGAAAGGCACACATTTCTGTTGAGGTTCATGAGTCACGATAAATACATATGCAACACTGAATTCAGAATTAGGAGGATTTAAACATGCTGATTCTTGCTAGGGGCATAAGAATCAGCTTTCTAATACACCACATGGCAGAGTGTGAGAACAGATGGAAAAAAGCTATCACAGAAAAATGTTGACCAGAACTTTGAAATGCATTGCAGCCAGAACAAAATATTCCAAGTAGGACTGGAGAAGGCAACCTGTACCTCTGTGTAGCAAATACCAAGCGGGTGTATATAAAATGTAGGATGGCAAAGAACTGTGCTGAAAAGCCCCAGACATAGTTCTGCATGGCCTTTTCAGGTGCCTTTCACAGTGATCAGTGTGAAGCTTGGTAAATATTTAATTAGAAAACCACCATGGAATGCCTCCAGAAACCAGGAAATACAATTCTGAAAGTAATTTTTTTATGCCTGACTGTGCTTTACTCAAGCCCTAGCACAGTGGGATCAAGCAATGTTGGAACTGTCAGCTTGTTCTGTGAAAGAACCTGAATTAAGTTTCAGCTGCATAGCCTGAAAATAAGGTTATAAGCATATGAATTGTGAGGACACTGGGTGTCTCTCAGACCAAGAAGTTAAGAAGTTTATTCTGAATGATTATTCTGAAGGCTATTTTAACACTAGAAGTATCTGGGGGGAATGGGAGAGAAGGGAAGGTATTTTTAAATTATTCTAAAGAGAGGAACATTTACTATTTTGTTCTTGTATTTTCTACTTAGTAATAGCCAAGTCTTTTCCCAGAGATAACCGTGGCCCATTCTGTGTGTGTGTGTATGTGTGCAGGCACAATTCTTTCAGGAGGCACTTGCCAAGGCAGATGCAAGTGTCCAGTGTTGATTTTAACATGGGGACAGACCCGATTTTGCAAAGGGGAGAGACGACAACCAGCATTGGGAGAATAAAACCGGAACTCTACAAACAGAAGTCTGTGGATTCTGATGGGCAACAAGATGTGAAAACATGTGGAAAACTTAACTTCACTCTCCGGTATGATTATGAGAATGAACTTCTGGCTGTCACAATTGTCAAAGCCTTAGATCTGCCTGCTAAAGACTTCACAGGAACATCTGACCCCTACGTTAAGATTTATCTGCTCCCAGATAGGAAAAAGAAGTTTCAGACACGAGTTCACAGAAAGACATTAAATCCTGTCTTTGATGAAACCTTTCAGTTTCCTGTAGCCTATGATCAACTCAGCAACAGGAAATTGCATTTCAGTGTTTATGATTTTGACAGATTTTCTAGACATGACATGATTGGGGAAGTTATTCTTGATAACCTTTTTGAAGTCTCAGATCTCTCCAGGGAAGCCAATGTATGGAAAGACATCCACTGTGCCACCACCGTAAGTAATGTGTTCCAAAAGCATTAACATAATATTTTTATGTCTTTTTTGTAGTTTGTGGCAGAGCATCCTGTTTATCAACAGAGTCTGGAACGAAAAAAAGAAAAAAAGTTGTCAATAATTTCCTGTGAACGTAGGGAAAAAGATGCTTAGGAAGCTATAAAATTTAATTACTAATAAAATCTTCTGGGAACATACCGTCACCGTTACGGCTCACTATGCATATATAAATTAGGTTTGTTAATTAAATACTACATCATGAAAGTCACTACTTACCAAGAACAATTAATGTTTTCCTGTTCGCAAAATACCCTGTCCTTTAAAATGACTACATATTTGGGAACAGGGCCCATTCTGCTCTTCATAGCAAATTTTCGTAAGTTGGGAATCTTGTGAAGGAAGAGAGAAAGGCTAAAAATGCTTGTCTAAAGTCTAAAATGTTCTTTGCTGTCTGCCCTGTGGTTAGGGTCCTCAGTAAATGTATCTGCATTGCTGCTGGTTACTAGCAAAACTCAAGAGGCACAAGTAAATAGAGTTAGGAAACAGAAATCATTTGTTTATTGTTGCAAGCAAGAAAAGGAGGCCAGTGCACTGATGACAGGATGGATAACAGGCTACCTGCGGGAAAACCTCCAGTCTCCAAACATTATATTTATTAACCTTGAAATCCAAACTCATCTTTGTCTACAACTGGGGGGGGGAGGGGAGTTATGGTATGGTGTGGGCTGTTGCTTTGGTTTGTTTTGGGGTTTTTGGTTGGTTTGGTTTGGTTTTTGTTTTGATTTTGTTGTTTCTTTTTAACTACTATGCGATTTATATACAAGTTTTCCCATCCCATGTTCTGTGGAAATGTCCGAGTCATCTCTGGGTTTGAGCATGGGCTGGACTTACACAAAGGACAGAGCAGTAGTAGACACTGCTTCAGCCACAGAAGGTTCATACGACCCCTTCAGCAGAGCCTTTTTTCCCTGAAAGTTTTCATGCTGTTCATTCCTGCTAGACATGGAAGTTTAGGTCTGCATAACTATAAAGACACAGACTGGTATTTCCTTTCCAGTTTGAGCATGAGAAAGAAGAAATGAGATATATTAGGGAGCGGAGCATAGTGGAGACAGTTTTTGAATGTGAATTTCTAAAAATGGCTATTTATTTTACTTTCTGGGTCTACCAAATTGGTATGAATAGCCTTTGGCACACCTTCAGAAAATTGTTTCTGTGTATGCTTAGTTTAATTGAGCTCTGATTTCGGGTAAATTGAAGAACTGTGTTCTCAAGCGGAGAATTGTGTCTGTGTTTAAGGCCTTGGAATAATAGCCCGGTAACATTTTTTTTAGATTTCTTCTAGATTTTATATTATCTTTAACACTTTAATAATGATTTAAATGCTCACTGGTCCTGTGCGACGTGTGTGTATGACATTTTTCACTGATAGAATGGTTTCAGCAAATTAGAATCCCTGGACTGTTCATCACCAGTTTTGAGCAGATCAAAATGCCCTACCACATTATACAGTCTGGAGAGATACTAATATACATCTGAATGGGAATGGTTGCTAATCTTGGTGCTGAATTCTAATTGAAGTTTCTTCCTCACTGAGGAAGAATATAGTAGGTTGGGAATCTTGTGAAGGAAGACAGAGAGGCTAAAAATGCTTAAGTACTTTAATTACTATATGCAGTTATAGTGCTTAACTCACTCTGCTGGTGTTGAAATTTAAGAGAAAGCATGAAGGTTTTACATTTCAGCCTTTCAGCCAGTATAGTTTACAGGTTTGAGTGTGTATGAGTAAGTTGTCTCCACGTAAGCTATTAACAATAAACACGTAACGTTGAGGTATCTTCTAGTAAGTATGGGGTGACCACACCAGCTTTCACAACCCTTACACTGTTCCCAGAAAATTGTGTGAGAAACTGATTGAATTGATATTTTTTTCTTGACAAAATGAAACCTTCCTATGTCTTTTTACTATATGTGCAATGTGCTGCTTTGTGTCTTACTTAGCTGTTTCATGTAGATTAAAATTGGTTAGTAACAAAAGTTTCTAGTTGTGCCATTTCAGAAGTCGTAAGATGAGGGAGTCAATCCTGCACAGGAATAAACAGTACATAAAATGTTAATCAACGGGGAATTACAGTCTTAAGCACCAGATCTAAAGTTTGCCAAAGTTGCTAACTAGCAATTAAATATATAACTAATGCTTGGCAGAGTCAACAGACTTGGATTAAGCCTGGAAAAGAAAAGATCCAGCTGGTTCTACAGTTAGTGAAAAGTAATTGTACTCCAGGCAGGCATACTTTGGTGTTCATAAAGAATCTTTAAAAGCCAAACTGGCTGTCTCAGTGGGAAGGTCCTTACTTGCACTGTAGAGTGCAGGAACCAAGCTGCCATTCTGCAGATTTATTTCTCTTATGCTTTTTTTGCTCTTTGCCTCTGCTCTGTTTTGTTGTATGTTCTCTCAAGCCCTTTGTTCAGTCATGATTTCTACACCCAGTGGTTTCCTTGTGATAGATGGTAGCAATAGATCAAAGGATTAGTCCAAAACTCATAAAACAGCAGAAGTAGCCTCTCCTCAGCTTTGAGTCTTTTACATCTCTTTCGTAGTCAATAATCTTCTATACAGAAAGTAGAGTGAGGGTAAAAAATCATTCCTTTTACCTGGTTGGAAAGAACCCATTTTTATGACACAATTTTCTGCAGTCCTGGAGTTGAACACCTACTAGACAGATTTACCAAGGAAAGGAGCGACAACATTTTACTAGTGAAGGCAGTTACCTCAGGAGATCAGGAGATTCTCTACTATGCAAAGATTCTTCATCAGTAGTTAACATAATTTAACAAGGTTTGCTTGTACATCTTTAAGGAGTTTTTATTTGTTACAGGAAATACTTGGTCTGAGGAAAAAATCAGACTGGGTGATTGCACTGAGTCCTGTTGGCCATAAAATCAATGATTGTTGAAATCTACAGTTTGAATACTTGTTTTGTTTTTTCTCATAATAGTAGTTTGAAACTATTTTGTAGAAGTGCAGGATTGGCCCTCACACACCCTCATTTTTATCCGTATGGTTTTCAGTTGTTGGAATTGATTCATCTTTGTTAGTTTGGAGTTTTTTTTCCTTTTAACTTTTCATTCATATCATCGTTTCTCTGTTATATAACATCTCGAAAACCTACAGCTATTGTATATACCATGTAGCATGTGCCTATTGTAAGTGCTAAAGGACCTCAATTTCTTAATGTGAAACTATCAAGGTAAATTTGGTATAAAATCAGTTGTGGAAAAGAAGTATCCTAGCTATCATATTATATTAATACTCCCAAATTTTGCTTATATATGGGTGAGTTTTCAATAAATAATCCATCATTTACTTCTGTTCGTTTGATTAATTGAAAAAAAAAAACCCAAACAAAAACCCCAAACCTCAAGATGGAGCTTTGCACCACCTGTGAAGGTTGTTCAGTACATTGGAATACTGTAAGTCTTAATACACTAATAATAGTTAATTCATAACATCAGAGACAAACAGCATCAAATGGATTGTTAGTCAACATACCTAGCTTATGCTTTTGTAAAGGGCTTGTGAGTTTTGCATACATTTCTGATGTTTTGCTACTGTCAATATATACCACATACTTTAAAAATATTTTAAAAAGAAAACTCATGCATTGGAATAGTTAACAAGCACTAGTGCAAATATTCAGTGTTGTAAATATGTTTAGACAAAAAAAAAAAACCTCTAGTGATCTTAACACCTGGGTATAAAAGTTTATTAACTTCCCATTATCCTTTTAAAAATGATTGATTGCTTTGAAAATCATTGCCTAAAAAATCTGTGAGCTCTGTTAGGGAACCAGTTATAGGAAACTATGCAACTGGAAAAAAAAAAAAAAATAGGGCCCAGAATTTAAATGAAAGCCATTTCCACCTCAGTAGTCTTGAGGGTGTTAGTCATGGAGCTGTCATGTATTTGTAGCCTCTTGAATTATCTCATGTAGACAGATGGAACTTGATTATTATTTAGTTTTCTGACACCAGACATTTCACTGATACAGCTTTCTCATTTGTGAAGTGGGATATAAAAGGAGGTTTTGTAAGGACACACACTGCATGTGATGCCCATGATGTGTGATTGCAGTTTCTAAAGTGCTTGGCATACAAGTGAATAGGGTTGCTGGAAAGGACAGAAGTGCTTAAATACCTCTTTTTTTAATAAGCGGGACAGTAACATTTGTCTCAGTTAATTTGTCTCAAAACTTGCCAGAGTAGAATGTCACACAGGTAATCCTGCCTGTTATAGATGGAGATTCTTCTGACTTCCTGACCAAACAAGAATGAAGCCCACCTCTGCAGTGCACCCAGAGCAATTACAGGCATTATCTTTTGCTTAGTTTTCTCCATAGTTCACTATTTCGTAAGTGGACAAAAAATGGCACACTAGACTGTACACTGAGTAAGGCAATAGTAGGGCTGAAAAAGGTATGTCTTATGGTAGTCAAATGTTGAGGCCGCATTGTAAGGATTGTCCTATTTCTTAGTGTTCAAAGAGTAACACTATCAGGAAATGTTTTATCACCAGAAATGTGGTGGACTATGCCCTACAGTTAGTCATCCTAACTTGCTAGCCTAGTCCTTCAGAATGGATGCTTCTGGAAGTGTACATAAAAGCTTTAACCCAATGTTAAAGAGGCGTGGAAGAGTAAAAACTTGTCAGTATACAAACATTTACCATCTCTATAGAGAGAATAGCATTTTTAAAGCTGAGTCACTGGCATTTGTAATTTCCACTCAAGGCCAGCAGTATAAAGATTTCACGTGATTACCTGCTCCTGAGTAGATGAGCGAATACTCTAGGTCAGTCTTTCCAGAAACGTATTGAGGCTTATCATTAGTTTTGGGACTACTTTGTGTCAGAGTGATAACTAGAAAAGACAATGGAGAAAGAATAGGTTTCTGACCCATTACTGAAAGCAGGAAAGATTTGTATTATTATTGACCATTTC